TCTCTCTCCCTCCCTCTCCCTGGTGTTTTGTAGCCTGAGAAAAATTGGGGCAAAAGATTAGAACATTTCCGAACGTACCTTTGTTATAAATTGGTTACTCAGCAGCATTAAGAAGTTCATACTTGGGGACTACTTGTCTTTTTTTTTTCAGCAATCAACATTGATTCTTGGAAAACTTATTCGAGGTTTAATTTCCTGTTTGCAGGTTACTAATCTCTGTTCTTTCTCGATTCGATGTTGGGCGATTAAGATCCTTGCTCTGACAGTTTGATTCCATAGTTAAATGCAACTTTCCCGATCAGTCCCCTCTTGGATCTGCCATTTTTTCGCATGCATGGGGTCAGTCTTTCCCTGTTCTCTTCCTCCTTTCCTCATATATGTATTTGAGCATGGCTAAGTGTGAATTCTATAGTCTTTGATGCTTATAATTGGAATTTTTCTTTGGCTGCAGAAAAATTTTGATTTGCTAAAACTTTGCAACTTCTTCGTCTCTACTTTCTTTCTGCAGTTCGTTTATTTTTGTTAAAACAAAGAATTCTAATTATGCATATAATAGGCATTTGCTTTTTGGTTATGTTGGAATCTTGTGTTTTCTTGTAGCTAGGGGGACCGGAAGAGTGAGCAAACAGAAAAGTGTTTTTTTCCGGGTCCTTCCTCTGTTTGTATAAATGTTTGCTTGAGGTCTTAGACTTTCAGTTATCATCAGCTGTATGTTACTGATTTCTTCATTACCAAATTCTACAATGCGAGCTCTGTGCAATAGCTTTTGTTTGCCAAGAAAAATTGATTCGCAAGTGGGGGAAAAGCGGTGTTGGTCAATTTTTGGGTTTTGGGGAGCTAACTCTTGCGTTTTTATCTGTTTCTTGATGGCTGCTTTGAAGGATAAATGCAGGAGTCTTTATGGTGTAAGATAATACATGTGCTTTTTCTTTCTTCACTTCTCGCATTTGATTTGTGGAGTTTTGGGGTTTGGGGTGATTAAGTTTATAATATGGTTTTGTTTGCTTGGACAGATAAATGAAGTTTATCTTACAGTTAGATAAAATTTCATAACAGAATCTCCCTTTTGGAGATGATGGTGGTTTGCTAGACATCCTGCCTCAGAAAATGATATCATTTTTTTCCTTATTACTAATAGTATTGAGATTGGAAAGCATATTTTGATTCATATTTTAAGAGACTTCTTTCGTTGTTCCTTGGCAAATGCGAGACACATTAGTAGATCTTAACAATTCCAAACAGTCAGTTTTATTCAGGCTGTAATTGAGTGTGTTATGTAGAGCAAGTTTTTTGTTATGTCTAGCTTGAGAAAGTATTTTTTTTTTTATTTTTTAATTTGCAAGTCTAATAATTAGTATTGTTGGTTGAATGAAATTCTGATAAGGTTATTTGAATTTCAGGGAATTTTTTTTTAGTCATGGTTCTTGAAATCCCTTCATTTTATTTAACTATTCAGTAGCTGGTTATTGCTGGTCCATGGTGATTCTCTTTTGTTATTTTTTAAATAGGATTGATTATTGTAAATCATAAATACAAACAATATGTTGGGTTATATATAAATTTCCTGCAAGATGCAAAGTTAACATATTAGTGAGTAGTGAATTGTCATAGGACACAATGATCTTAAAGGAGTCTACTATCTGATGTTAGCAGTTTACCTTGTTTGTGGAGATCTCTTCTCAGTGTTGATTGTCATGATATATCAATCAATGAATTGCTTTACCCTAGTTACATGGCCTTGGCTGCATGAATCCTATGTCTCTAATCCACTTGATTGTAACCATATTTTAATTAAGCCATAACAATTTGGATCTTTCTTCACTGTCACAGCCCAAGGTAGTTTTGGCTACTTCTATCTATTATTATCCTCAAAGAGAAAAAGTGTCACTTATATTGGATCATAAACGAGTCTATGTGTATAGGACCATGTTGTCTAATCTAAATTTCTCTTATTTTATCTTGGATAGATGCTACCTTGGCCATCATCCAAATACGATCATTTCTAATTATGTATTTTGTTGTTTTATCACACATCTATATTAACATTCTCATTTTTGTCAGACTCATTTTACTAAAATGTAATTTTTTAACTGCCCAACATTCTGTTCCGTGGAGGATTGTGGCCATAAAGTTGTCTTGTAAAACATTCCTTTCGAGTGTCAACCTCATAGGTATTAGTTGGTCACATAAGATAAGACATTCCTCTACTTGCACAAACCATCCTTAATTTTATGTCACATTTGCATCAATCCTGTCCATCCATATGTATGACTTAACCCAAGTAACAAAATTGCTTACTAATAAATATGTCTTGCCCTTCTTTTCTATCTGTTGCTTCTTGTTCATACTCAATTTTATTAAAGTTACATTTTATATATTCTTTTTTAATTCTACTTATTTTAATCTATCTTGATTCTAACGCTTCTCTCTAAAGTTCTAACTTGGTAGTCACCTGTATTTTAGACTTTTAGTTCATCTCTTAAATCAGTATCATCTGCAAGTAACATGCCCTGGAAGATTTCATCTTGCATGTATATTATCAATTTGTCCATGGTTAACACAAAAAGATGGGATTAAAGTTGATCCTTGGTGTAAACCTACAGTAATTTGAAAATCATGAGTTCACATTTCCCACAACCAAAAGTCATAGCCTTATCAGTCACGTAAGTGTAATCTCAATATATTTATTTGTGACACTTTTCGTCTTTATAGCCCACCATATTAAATTTCTGAGAGACCTGTCATATGCCTTCTATAAAATCTATGACAACATGTGAAGACATTTTTGGTTTTGCCTGTACCTCTCCATAAGTTACCTTGACAATAGATTGCTTACATTATGGACCTACTAGGTATAAATCACAACTGATTGTTTGAACCACTGCTTCAAGTCTTAGCCTGTGTTTAGTCATGCTTTTACATAACTTGCTAGTATGGCTCATAAATTTAATGCCTCTATAGTATGAGCAACCTTGAATGTGTCCTTTATTTTATACATTGACACTAAAATCATTTATCCAACATTTCTAAGTTTTTATAATTTTATTATAAGTTTAACTAATTTATGCCCCACATCTAAGTACTTCCAAACATCACTAGGGATACCATTAGGTTGTATGACTTTTCTATTTTCATCTTCTTTAAAGCATACTTCACCCAACATCCTAATTCCATGAAAAAAATTTAGTTTCTCTAACTAAATTATCTTTATTATTTATGTTTAATAATTTCTCAAAATATTTTTCTCCACCTTTCATTAATTTCCTCATCCTGCACTAATTCTTGCACTAATACTTGTGACTTTTCGCTTAATTGACATTCTTTTTATTCATAAATTCTTAATACATTAAATTTGATTAAACTCTCCTGGTTTCTTCATTCTTAAGTTAGCAAGTTTATATATTTCCTTTTTCCCATCTTTTAGTACCAAGTATATAAATTTTCTTTGACTTTTAGTTTAGCCTCATTAATGACTTTTTTGTTTCCTTTGCAGCTTATCTATATTTTTTTCCTAGGTTTCTTCATTAATTATTTTTCCAAGTCTCACAACAACCTCATATTGTTTTAGCTACATTGTGAACCTCCTTGTTTCACCACTACATATCTTTGTCCAATGTTCCCCTTCCTTTTGAGTTTCCAAGAATCTCTTTTGCTACTTGTTTTGTGCACTCATTTAGCTTATTCAAGTTGCATGTGTCTCATCCTCTAGGACCTAAATATATATATTTTTAATTTTTTTATTTAAATATCTCGATTGATTCCCTTTTAAATGCTGCCTCCTAATTCTAGAGATTTTAGTAATTGTCCTTCTATTTGTGCGTCTCTTAATTTGCACATTTAAAACCATTAACTGTGCTAGGTTAAACTCTCTTATGGTATGATTTAATAATCTTAACATGTTATTCTATCTCCTCTTCTAGTTAAGAAAAAAATATATTTGACTCACATGTGTTCCACTTTTGATAGTTGTTAACTGTTCATCTCTCTTTTTAAAGCAAGTGTTTGCTATTATCAAGTAATATGCTATAAGATTATCTCTCCAATATTGTTGTCTTTGAATCTATGCGAATCATGTACTATCTCATCTCTTCCACAACCCTTACCTATATGACCATTAAAGTCTCCTCCCATAAACATCTTGAGATATTCTATACATTAATCATCCCAATTTTGCAATTTTTTCCCATTTCCCCCCTCAAATCTTTTCTTCTTATCCAACCCAGGAAAATAAGCACTCGAGTATAATTTTCTCCTACTACAAGTTTCAGTATATTATCCTATCTTTTATTCTTTTTAGACTTAATGCCTATTTGCGAGAGTTGATTTTCAACGGTTTTCAACTTCTAGCTAAAAAAGAGGTGATTTTTCCTATTTGAGATTCCTTCTTCTAGGCTAGTTTCCAAGCTTTAGCCAAAAATAGCCAAGAGCAAAAGCACCCAAACCATTGCTTCTTGCAGCTAATGTCATAACTGTAAATAATTCAAATTCTCGTTAGACAAATATATCTCCAACATTTTAATTAAAATCCCAATTTACTCAACGTAGAAACCTATTTACCCTTCTTATGTAAATGGACAATTTAGCATTTTAACATGATATACAATTAAGACAAGTATTTTACCAAACATCCATTTATCAACTTTTTCTACTTTTGAGCAAAATTTGTAAACATCTCCAACTTATATACTTTCAGCACTTTTTTGACTATTTTTAAAACTGAGCAGTTCTTTAAAAGTAGTAGGTCTTGCAAACAGGCCCTTACTACCTCTTTTAAATCCTTATCTACCACTATGCCTCCTCCATTTCTATATCAATTGTTTCTAGTATGATAAATTTCATATCCTATGTTTTTTTAATTCGTTTTGCTTTAGCTCCTACCCATTTAGTTTCTTATAAGCATGCTATATTATTTACCTTCTGATTATTGAATTCGTAGAATGGCCAATTTGAGTATTAAGAAGAATTTCTATGTGAAACTTTTTTCTTAATACAGGAATGAAATGAGATTTGTGAGGGGTTATTTTTGTTTGTTTGGGGCGGAGGGGGTTGGTGAGGGAGGTCCATGTAGTTTGTTGCTGTAAGATGTTATTTTGAACTTGCAAATGTTTTGCGATTTGTAATATGCTTTGCTGCCTTTCGTTTTACTTCTTTTGATCTTATTTTATTTTCTAAGAGAGGGGAATGGACGAATAGTATAAATATTTCATTCTATTATGTAGTTGCTACTAATCATTTTTAGGTTATAAACCTGATTTGCAACAGAGCAGAGGTTGTCTTGGATGTTGTCCTAAACCCCCACTGGTAATTGCTGTGGATGAGCCATCAAATGGACTGAGAATTCCAGGCCGAATGGTCAAGAAACCAAGCATTTTGGAGGATTTCTGGAGTACTAGCACTTATGAGATGGACCATAGTGCATCTGCGTCCCAAAGAAGTGTTCCTTCAATGAGCACATCAAATCTGCCTCCAGATCTCCATGCTAGCGGTGGCAATGCGAGTAACCCAACTGAATTTGTGAATCATGGTAAGTTCCATTTCAGTATTTTTGTTTCCACTATAATACTTGTTTGAAGTCCCATGCATCAATAAACTATTGCTTAACCATTGTTTTTGAAGCATCACCTCAACTCATCCTCAATGAAACCATCCAGGCCTGATTAATAGAGGATCTATAGGTAGACATATGGCTAAAATAGCCACCTCTTCTCAGCCTATTAATGTACCCTTGTATATATCAAAGCTGCTTTGAATTGGCATAGTGCAGTCCCTGCATTATATGTTTGTAGTCCTGCCAATAACTGCAGTTCATATTTCTTTCCCTTCTATATGTTTGTTTTACTTGTGACAGTATGAGGTAGATGTATAAAGGAGAATTATGGTTGGATAAGGTTGCTCAAGTCATTTTCTCTGTTTTTTGTTAGTCAAATATTTCTTACTTTTTCTGCTGTATGCTTTTCCATTGTTTAATTTGGATCTCTGCTTTGAAGTACCATTTTGTCTTCAGATGTAATGCTCAGAATATCCTCTAGGACACTAGAGAATTTTGAACAAAACTCATGTATCACGGATCCCATGTTGGATAAGGTGAAAAGGGTGGACTATTCTCATGGGCCTGGAGTTGGAGGCACTAACTCACCACAAACCTAGTCCAACCCATGTGGCACTTAGGCACAAACCTTTGTTACCCAATTAAGCCTTTCCCAACTTTGAGTTCCACAGCCCAAGTACTCACAAACACACACGCAGCACACACGTGTTTCCGAACCCAACTCTCCAACACCCTCACCCTACACCTTGTAGAGAAGGATAGAAGAAGAGAAGAGCACGCCTAAGTATAAAAGGAAAATTTCCCTCATCCAACAAAGGTACAAAACCAACCCCCTCTCCCCCAAGGATCCGCAAACTCACCTTTTTTACAAACTAAGAGTTCACCTTGAATTCTTATGGCTGAAGCCACTCTCACTCACCAAGCTTACGCCTTGTTCACTCCATCACAGGAGTTATCCAATATCAATTTCTCTCACCAAGTTAATGCCCTTTCACTTGGCTACTATGGTGTGTATCCTCCCCTCATGTAATACCTTTGCAAATGAGGGCACCAAGCTCTTATGTAGGCCAAGCCATGGCCTTCCAACCAACCCATTAATTAGGGTAGTTTACCTCACTCATTTATTTTTCCACCTACTAGTATTATACATTTACATTACAAATGAACCTAGCAAAACTACTTAGCTAGATACATTGTCTTCTAAAATACGTTTCCTTGGCTTCCTCAAGAATCCTCTAGAAATTGCCACATCCTCATGCCAAGTCATCTACCAACTTGCTTCCCATCGCCACATGTTAAGCCTTGATATGCCACCTTGTTGCCCCATGTGTGCCTTGGTCCATGCCATTGTCTGCCACGTGCATTGACCATTCCATCTTGTCCTCCATGTTTGACCATTCTAACTAGGCCACATCATCAATATGGCCTCACATCTTGACATGGTAGTTGAGCCCCACTAAGTCCATGTCACATGTCAGGTCATGCCGTGCTTTGATAGCTCCTTGTCTCCTACTGGATAGGACATCAGGATGCGCAGCCTCCAACTTTGGCACACTAGCTCAAGCTCCACAGTTAGGTGCAAATGAAGCCAAGGGTCGGGTTGTGACATTAGGTAATAAGCAGGGGGCATTGCACACTAAAACAAGTGTATCTTTTAGGAAGAGACTAATGACCCAAGGACAAGTGAGAGTAGGGTCATGGCCTAAAAATTGGAGTGTAGTAGGCTTAACCATCGGAAGGCATTTGGGGTAGTCAAGCCCATTAAGTTGATAATGACAAGTAGGTTGTCAAGTCCAGTGGGCGACGTGGGCTGGTGTGGCATGGCATGCTTTGGGCAACATGACAGGTTGGGTTTGTAGGATGATGGATGACGGAGGAATGAATAGGCCCAACCTTGGCAGCAAAGGCGTGCTCTAAAAGATGGGGCATGACATGCCCAGGCTAGCGAGGAGTGACAAGGTGCTGTGTTTCAAGGGGACCAAGCTTTCCAGCTCAGTGCTAAGGTGGCATACTGGGGCACGACATGTGTCAATGGGCTAGGCACGTCATGAGGCATGACATAGACTCAATGGGCCTTAGCAGATATGGTATAGTGCGGATCTATGGTGATGATGTGGTCAAATTGGGATGGTCCAACATGGGGACACAAGGCTGGAGCTTCTAGAAGAAATTTGAATTGGGAGGGAAGCTCAACTACCCAAATTAATGCATGTGGGAGTGGAAGACGAAGGTATGGACCAAGGTGCATGTTCGAAGACATGGTGGCAACCAAGGTGTGACGTGTAGCAATAGGAAGCCAAGTTGGCAGGTGAATTAGCATTATGATGTGGTATCTTAAAGAGGATTCCTAACGAAGCCAAGAAGACATTTTCTAAGAAGCAATATATCTAGTTAAAGGTAGTTTGGCTAGGTTCAAGTATTGTAAATATATATAATTGGTAGGTGGAGAGTAAAGGGGGTAGGTGAACTACACTGCGTAATGGGCTGGTTGGGAGGCTATGGCTTGGTCTATAAGATCCTGGTGCCCTCATTTGTAAAGGCATTGGAGGTGTGTGAGAGACACACATTTAGTAGCCAAGTGGAAGGGGAGTAACTTGGTGGGGATCTGAATCTTCAGTATTCTCTTGTAACCAAAGCAAACAAGTTGTGAGCTAGGGAGAAAATAGAGTGGCTTTGGGTTTTAGTTTCGAGGTGAACTCTTGGTTTGTAAAGGTTGGGTCAGCCAATCCAGAAGGGGTCTTGTACCTTTATTGGTTAAGAGGAAATTTTCCCCCTAATGTTTTCTTGTGTGCTTTCTTCCACTTCTACTCCTCCTAACTCTTGGATGGGTGTGTGTTAGGAGTGTTAGTGAGGGTAAATGTTTGGGTTAGAGAAGCACTTGCGTGTGTGTATACTTGGGTGTGGGATTCCCAAGTCAAGTAAGGCTTACTTGAGTACTAATGTATGTGCCTCAGTGCTGCACAGGTTGGACTAGATTTGTGGCAAATTAGTACCTCTAAATCTACGTCCATGACAGGTGGTATTAGAACTACATTCAGTGTCCACTTGCTGCGGAAGACAACAAGGTGGGATCAAGGCAGTTGTAGATCAACCATGACAATGAAGGATGGAGTAGATGTCCATATCATGGGGATGTAGAAAAAGGTAGTAGATGCTTTGATGGCCCAAGTTAAGGCCTTCAAAAGAGAGATGGTAAGTTGGTCATCATCCATGGTAGAGTTGACTTTGGATGCCAAAATGCCATAACCTAAAAGGGTGAAGAGAAATAGGGTCATTGGCAAGGATTGCGACAAGGGTTCAAGTGGGGGGAGTGTCGGATCTCCCCACCATTAGGAAGGTAGCTGAAGTACCCAAGGTGGTTAAGCCAAAGGAGGCAAGTTGCTACCAAAGAAGAAGCACAATCGACGGGTGGTAAAATGCTTCATTTGCGAGGGTCCTCATATCTCTCAAGCTTGCTTGGGTCGAAGTAGGTGGGCTGCCTTGGCAAAAAGGCTTAATGAGGAAGAGGCCAAATTGGAGAGACCTGAGGAAAGAAAGGTGAGATCTTTGTGGGTAATAAGCTCTTTACAGTTAGTAAAGAATGGAGGCGACCTCAAGGAGCGGGGACCTTTAGAAGCACCAATTGACAATCAAGACAAGGTGTTGTTGAGTGGTGAATAGTCGGGGAGTACTAAGGTAAAGAATCAGGATGATGAAGTCTCGGTCAAAGCAGCCAAAGTGGAGGTGACAAACTGAGGCGTGGAAGTCTCGAATAGCATGGTTAAGGTGGCTGAGGTGGGAAGACCAAGGCTGCCAAAAGGGGTTGTTGACAGGGGCTTTTGCAATCCAAGTTGGGGAGTGCCACGGCTTGACACTTGAAGGTTAGTGGGCTTCACTGTCAGAAGGCATTTGGGGCAAGGCCAGGTGTGTTGAGCTCATCAGGCTGCATGTTGGGTGTCAATGTCAAGTAGGATGTTAAGTCCTATAGGTGGTGTTAGGCTGGTGTGGGCTACCAAGGCATGGCATGCTTTGGGTGGCATGGTGGATTGGGCTGGCAGGATGCTGGAGGAATGACAAGTCCAACCAAGGTAGGAGAGGTGCGCTCTAAGAGGCAGGGCATGACATGGCCAAGTGGATGAGGCGCGACAAAAATGTTTCGTTCCAAGGGGACCAAGCTGGCAGGATGCAATGTTGCTTTGTAGGCAGGGGGTGTTCTAGCTAGGCATCAAGGAGGCATACTAAGGTGTGATACATGTTGATGGACTAGGCAGCGCGATGTGCACCCATTGGTGCTTGACTAACATGGCAAAGTGTGGACCTATGGTGATAATGTGGTCAAGTTGGGATGGTCCAATGTGGGGATACATGGCTGGAGCTTCTATAAGAAATTTGAATTGGGATGGAAGCTCAACTACCCAAATTAATGCTTGGAGTGGAAGACGAAGGCATGGATGAAGGCACATAGGGGAAGACAAGGTGGCATACTAAGGCATTGCATGTGGCAATGGGAAGCCAAGTTGGCGGATGACTTGGTGTGATTATATGATGCCTTCTAAAAGATCCTTGAGGAAGCCAATGAGACATTTTTTAAAAGACAATATATCTAGTTAGGCAGGTGAGATGAGATTGTAAATGGGGTAGGTAAACTACCCTTTACCCTAGTTAATGGGGTGGTTAGGAGGTCATGGCTTAGCCCATATAAGGGCTTGGTGCCCTTATTGGTGAAGGCTTTAGAGGTGTGTGAGTGATACACATCTAATAGCCAAGTGAAAGGTGAATAACTTAGTGGTGATCCAAATCTTGGGCATTCTCTTGTAACCAAAGCAAACAAGGTGTGAGCTACAGAGAAAAGAGAGTGGGTTCGGGTTTAAGAGGTGAACTATTGGTTTGTAAAGGGTTGGGTTGGCTGATCCAAAGGGGGTTTTGTACATTTATTAGTTACAAGGAAATTTTTCTTCTAATATTTTCTTGTGTTCTCTCCTCTACTCCTAACTCGAGTGTCTGTGTGTTGGGTAGGGGTGTTCAAAACCGAACTGGACCGATTGGACCGAACTTAACCGACCACAAACCGAACCAAACCGACCACAATCAGTTTAATTCGGTTACCAGATTTCATAAGCCGATCAGTTTGGTTCGGTTTGGTTTCGGTTTTGTCCCAAAATAAAACCGAACCGAACCAAACCAAACTGACTCTATTTATTAATATATATATATTATATAGATATTATATATATATTTATATTTATATTGAATTTTTTTACAAATTAAAAAAAATAAAAAACCGATTATGTCTTATAAAACACAAAACTAACATGTTCGGTTCGGTTCGGTTTGGTTTAGGTCCAAAACCGAACCAAACCAAACCCGTGAACACTCCTAGTGTTGGGAGTGTTAGTGAGGGGCAACACTTGGGGTGTGGGATTCCAAGTTGGGGAAGGCTTACTTGGGTATTAAGTTTTGTGCCAAAGTGCTGCACAGATTGGAATAGGTTTGTGACAAGTTAGTGCCTCTAAATTTAGGACCGTGACAGGTGATATCAAAGCTGTGTTTGATTTCCACTTGCTGCAGAAGATGGCAAGGTGGTATCAAGGAGGTTGCAGATCAACCGTGACGGTGGGAT